GTGTCCTACGCCCTGCTGCCCGTGCGCAGCCTGCTGGCCGTCGGCTTCGGGCTCGTGGTGGCCACCTCGCACCTGCTGGTCACGGCCACCTTGGTCCCCGCCAAGCGCCCGCGTCTCTGGAGGACGGTAAGTGGGGTCCCAGACGCGCCGCTCTGGGACCTGGTGCCCTGAGTTGGGTGCACTCCCTCTGACCGAGCGGGTGGGGAAACTGAGGTCCCAGACAGGGGCGAGAGGGTTGTTCAAGGTCACTCAGCAGCCAGGGACACTCTGCCCTGGCTTTGCACGGAAATACAGTCCAGTCACAAAGCCCCTGTGGGCGCGCCGCGTGGACAGGGAAGACCGGCCCAAGGTCAGGTGGCCGGGGGTGGCCAGGAGGGCCCAGACCTGGGTCCACCGCGACCTCCGGAGTCCAGCCCTGCGGCGGGACTGGAGGCCGTGGCTGGAGGCACTGGCTGCCTGCTGGGGTCTTGGCTGTCGGGAGCGCAGTCCCCCCTGCCCCTTGGCGATCCCTACTGTCCTACCCCCCCCCGGGGGGGAGGATGTGAGATGAGAGATAAGCACTTTGCGGCCCTCCAGTCTCTCTGTCCGTCCCACGGGGATCCCTTCAGCCCAGAAGGAGCAGGCTGTGCCAAGGTCACACTCGATCTGGTCTCCACCGCCCCTGCTCCAGGTCGCCCTGACCCTGGCTCTGCAGCGCAGAACTCTGTCACTGTCTTCCTGGTCTGGCAGGGGAGATGCTGTCAAGGACAAGGGTGCAGGAGTCCTGCCTCCTGTGGCTCCTCCTGGACCCCTGCCAGACCCTCCCTCCAACCTGATGGGAGGTGGGCAGTGGCTGTGCCCCCGGGTCCTTCGGGAGCTTTCCCTGGCTCCTTTCCCACATGAGCCCCAGGGAGGGTTTGGTTCTTGGCTCTGGCTGCAGTTCAGCCAGCATAGGGGGAACCACATCTGAGGAAAGGAGGTGGCTGTGCGGGGCGAGGAGGAGACAACAGCCGGTGTGGAAGCTGGAGAGGGAGATTGCTGTGGTGGCATCAGACAGCCTTGCCTCCCTGGGAATGGACAGGACTGGGGCTTGGCCCCAGCCCCTGATGCTTGGAGAGAGGGGGCCACCGGGTGCCTGGGAAGGGGTCAGGTGTGTGCTGGGCTTGCTTTTCAGGCCCCAGGAGACTGGCACATGCTCACAGCCATGGGCAGGTGGAGCACCTGAGGGAAGGAGAGAGGGCATGGATCAGAGCTGGCAAAGATGGGTGGGGAGGCTCTGGAGAGGGAGGAGGAGCAGGGGTGGGGGCCAAGGACAGAGAAGAGGCACAGAGAATGGCCAGGGGGAGTCCAGCCAGGGAGTGGCACCGGGGCAGGCTTCTCCACAGCCTCTCTACACTTCCTGTGGGCAGTGCAGCCGGGCCTGAATCCTCCTGGGCACTCCCATCCTCCCGGCCCCCATCTGCCAGCCTTTAGCTGGCTCTCATGCTGGCAGCCAGACCCTTGTGGGCACTATGAACTCCCACTGCAGCCAGAAGGGCAGATGCCAGGGCAGCTTGGGAGCAGGAATGCCCAGGGATCTGGGCCATGCCGTCCCCTGTGCACACCAGGGAGTCCAGTGTGCAGGGCCATCAAAGTGTGCATTATTGTCTTCTTTTTAAATAATTTCCTATACAGCTCCTAGGCATTCCTTATAGAGAAAGATTTAAAAAGACAGGGAGGAATCTGCTGAGGTCCCTCTGTCCCTCTCCTTGGAGAAAGAAAAGTCCCTGTTACTGAAGGGGAAAGGAAGCCCAGCCCAGAGATAAGGATGCCCAGGCATCGGTGTCCGGATCTCCTTGCCTTTAGCTCCCTGGGCACGAAAAACCCTTCCCTCTGAGCCTCAGTCGCCCCTCCTGTGTGAGGAGATAAGAGCACCCGCAGGGCTGTACTGAAGGTGGGAGTGTTCTTCTGGAAAGGCACCTACTGGAAATCTGTCACTTCTGAACCCTGCTGTCCTATTCAGAATGCTTGTGTTCAGGCTGACATTGGTGGTAGTGATATTGACAAATAGATGATATCCCAGGCAGAGCGACCTGTAGTGGTGGGAGGGTCTGGGTGCCCCCTGGGGTCCTGTCTTCCAGCTGCACAGTTCCAGGTGCCTTAGTGAGCTTCAAGCCAAGAAGGCGGCATGCACAGCAGGCAGTGTTGGCGTCCCCCACTCCTCCTGCCTCTCCACCACCTCCTGTACATTGCCCCCCATCACCTCTGGGGCACCTGCTGACCCTGCTGCCTCCCCAGTGCTGGATTCTAGGCAGGCAGTAGCTGTGCACGTGTGGGACATTTCTTCAGGGTCTCTGCTCTTGTGGGTCCCTCTAGGTGTGGAGCTCCAAGAAAGCACTGGGACCTTCTGCGGCAGTCAGGAGAATTTGCCCCTAAGCAGATCTGTGGAGAGCCTGCACTTTGGGCTGGGGCCTGGGTTTGAGTCTGCTCTGTGCTGGGGTGCACATGTGTTTTGGGGGCCACTAATTATAGGGAGGTGCCCAGGGCTCCTGCAGCTCTGCTCTTCTGCTTATGGCACATAGGGCTCTGGGGGCACAGCCCTGTGCTTTGGGGGAACCTCATACCTTGTTGTAGGACACAGTTTAGCTGTGCTCACAGTTGGAATCAGTAGCTGGTGCTCACTCTTCCCCTGAGTGGGTGCTTGGTGCAGAGGGGTCCTGGGCTCGTGGGCCCAGCACTCAGGAATTGCCTAAAAATGGTGTGCTCAGCATCAGCCTCACTGGGTTCCTTCCCTCTCCCAGTCCCCTGCTTCCATGATGCTCTTGGACCCAAACAAAGTAAAACAGTGAATTTCTACGGTGCTGAGCCAGTCCTGCTCAGGTGTGGCTGTGGTCTGCTCAGTAGGGGACAGCTGAGGTGGCCAGGGTGGCTACGGAGCATGGGTGGGCTGGAAGCAGCATGCTGGGGCTATGGGGCATTCGGGGAGAAGAGGAGATGCTGCAGGTTGGGGCTGCCCTTGGACATGCTGCTTGTTGGAGGGACATGTGGTGCCTCTGAGGAGGGCCATGCTGCTGGTGTGCTCCAGGCTGCTGCTATTATTTTTAAAATTTTGGCAGGAACAGAGGTCTATGTGCTTTCATTTGATTGCTTCTGCACGTGAAAGAAATGTATTTCGGTTTCTGTTCTCAACCCCAGGCAGATCACAGGCATCTCTGTGTCACTGGTGTCTGCCACCAGAGCTGTCACTGTACTCTCTCTGGTGTTCATGGGGGTTTGGGTGCTGTCCCTTTCCTGCCACCTCTCTGAGGACTGCAGGGCCTGGTCTGGGCTCCCCCGGTCCTGCTCACACTGTGGCCTCAGTGATAGGGCCTCACTCTTACTGTGGGCTGCTTGTAGCTGGTGGCTGCTGCTGTGTGTCTGTTGGTGACACCAGCCATGGGACTGAGGTGCTGGCCTAGATCCCACGATGGAAGAGACTCGGGACAGGACACAGGAGCAGGCCCTGCCTGTTCACCAGCTATGGCTGGAGCTGAGCAGCTCTGGCAACCAGAGCACCTGTCTCCACCCTGGGCAGAGTGTATGCATCTCAGGACGAGAGTCATGGCTGCCACCCCTCTGTTCACACTCGTGTACAAGCACAGAGGGTCACCATAAACTCAGGCACCTACACACCCATGGGACACTCCTCCCATATACGGTCACAGTCATACTACATATGCGTTCACACGCTCACATAAATGCTCACAAACTAATGCTCACACTTTCATAACTCAGTACACACCCACCAGTATGCCTGTGTACATTCTTGCACTCATTTTCACACTTGTATCTACATGCTCATGCAGATACCTGCACATAGCCCCACTTAGCCATGTGTACACATAAGCACGCTTGGATGAACACGCACTTGCACAGACGCACTCAACACACTCGAACCCATCCACACCCACTCACCTATCACACCCTCACTGGTCAGCACCACTGTCCTTGTCTGTGGCCCTCTCCCCACACCTGCTCCATGCCCTTGGGTGATATCAGGGTCTGGATGGTGGGTTGAAGAGGCCAAGCTCAGGCTCGGTGTGGCCGGGCAGCCCTGAGCCCAGGACTGAGCCCGGACAATGGGTCCCTTTTCTCCAGAGCCGTTCATCTGTTTGTTGTGTCACAGGTCACGTGTGGCACATGCCTGCTGCTCTGTCCCTTGCTTCCTGCAAGCTCCAGTATGCACATGTGGGGCTGTGGGGTGTGCAGCTTGGACTGCAGGGTGGCTAGTGCTTCACCTCTTCACTCTTGTTGACCGTTCGAGTGCCCATTACAGGCAGCAGATCCTGTGCTGGCTCCCAGCCTGTGCAAGCTGTGTTCTTTGGAGGGCACGGCCCAACCCACTAGGCACTTTAGAGCAGGGTCAGGAGCTCTGAGCCTGTGGCCAGCCCCAGCCCCTCTGTGGAAAGTGCCACTGTGAGCTGCTGCCCAGGATCTGCCTGCCCATGCCCTGGGAGGGCCGCTGCACTGCACTGTCATCCACCCTTGGAAGCAGCCCGGTCACAAGTGTGCCTTTGAGAAAGCTGCTGGGTGGGCAGTGGGTGTGCAAGAGACACCAGGCCTGGTGGGTGTGTGCAGGGAGTGGGGGTGGCTGCTCCAGGAAGTCCAGTCCTGTGGGGAGACCCTGCCCACCTGCATAGGGACCTGTGCTGGGAGCCACACCTGTGATGCCATCCCGAGAGAAGTGTCCTGTGACGGGGACTCCTTGCCTCCCTGAACAGTGATGGCCCTGAAGAGATATCTGAGAAGCTCGCTCCTGCAGCTCGCTTCCCACAGAGCTTGTTTTTGCTCCATTGCTGTCTCTCCGCTGTGTAAATGATTAACGCAGTGGCCATGTTTTAGGAATCACTGGCATAGCCTGAAGATTTTGAAACAGCTCCGATGTTTAATTTAAAAGCCATCAGCACTCAACAGATAGAGCAGCTACTTCCCCAGCGCTGACTGAGAGCTGGGTGGTGGGCAGGGTCGCGTCCCCTGTGGGACCCGTGGGGTGGACACATCTTTAGTGCCAGGTACCTCGGCCATCGTTTGTTCCTAAGTCAGAAATGTCCAGAAGCCCGTGACGTGGTTAGTGACTCCCATTGGTGTGCGGGTGCCGGGAGGGGCTGGAGGGGCAGAGACTTCTCCAG